TTTTTTTCAAATTGGGGAGGGTCAAACCTGTTCTATTCGCAACCAGGGGAGGGTCAGAGTTTTTTTTTTTTTGGCCGAAGGAAAAAATTACTCCATGTCGCTTAATTGACTCATTTGTTAACAAGCACGCGAAGTGTATAGAAACCTAAAACTTGTATATACAAGCAAAGCTACCAGTCAAGATTAATCTAAATCATTTACAGGTGTCGAAATATTCTATCAAAAAACTATCGTGTCCCAACTGACATAATTGTCTCTCTCAACCCGTGCCCACTTTCGTCCATATTTTGACGGCGGTAATGTTTCCACGCGGGGTTCAGCTGGTATAAAATTAGTCTCCGGTCACGATTCGTTACTTAAGCTACTAAACTTTCTAATAGCCTCACTGTCCCCACTGACTAGTTCACTTTCCTCAAACAATCGCTTAATCTGAGCTCGAGGCTGGGAGTCATCTGGCTCACGGCCGTTGGTGGGGGTTGCACTCCAAGAGAGATAATGGAAGTTTGGTAGCTTGCCATAGTCGGCATATGGTCGCCGAGTTGGAAGTGAAGTGCTGGTAGTCTTATCCTTCTCGCAAAATTACATAGTTGGTCATTTCTCTCTCGACACGACATTCGCCTATACTCCATATAAAGCTCCCCTTTCTCACAATGGAGGCTCTCAAATTGTTCTAGCTTGGAAAAATACCCATGTAGGGACAAGTGGTCCAAAAGGACAGGTAGAATTTTGGCAGAATACCATTTGAGAATTCAGAATATTTGCCCTTTGGGTTCGTTCCGGTTAGTTATTTTCACTTCCTGTTATTTTTGTCTTGGAGGAGGTGGGGGGAGGGTCAGATGTTTTTGTGTAGGTATCTGTGAAGGGTCATGCATTAATCCATTCTGGGAAGTGAGAAGGCCACGACTTTTTTCGCAAAAACTTTCTAAAATACCCCAACCCGACCCCCCCCCCCCCCCCCCCCCCCTAAAAAAAATTATGTTACATAGAACCTCGAGTTCTACAAAGGGGATATGCTGCTTTTAAAAGAGTGTTTTCACGTGACTTCACTATGTACAGCAATATTGTTGTCCCAAAACAATGAAACGGTGGTCATGTTGGTGTACCAAACCAATCCTGTGGGAGTTCAACTGTTTTCTTATGTAAACACTTCCTTTTTCTCCAATAAATGTGCATGGCTGCTGGACACGTGAGTGAATACGCTCTATAGCCTCAGACCCAGAATATTGAGACCATGGCGTCCTCTACAGTAGAGGAAGCCTGGGTCATTTTACAGAGGAAATAAAATATTTTTTAAATATTTTTCGCCATCTGTTGCGTAAACATTAGGGGAATTTGGTGATGGTGTTTGTGATCACTGTGGTTATTATAACCTGTTCGACTTCAGTCAATTTCTATTTGATGGAGAAGTTTCAGAATGCTAATCTTTGTTATTAACTTATTCCGTTAGGTTCCATTTACCTTGACGCTAAGATTGTGGGACATCTTCATGTTGGAAGGAGACAGACTGCTGACCGCTATGGCGTATAACATTATGAAAATGCACCGAAGTAAGTCGAATTTGATTGGTTCATTGATTGATTGAGTGATTGACAGACCGACAGGGCGCGCGACCGACTGATTGACTACTTTAAAGGTCATTTCCGAGTTGCCTTTTGCTTCTGTGTCAAAACGGGCCCTCAAGCGAAATCATTCATATCAAAATATGCGTTCATTTCACGCAATTCAAACTCATTTTCGTATGAAGGGTTTTACACAGGGCGATTGAAAAGTGACTATTTAGTAGCGCATTGGAGTGCTTTGCAATTCATGCTACGAATCTTGCTCGAAGACTGGTGACTGTTTCTTGTGTTCACTTATGTAACGACGTGATCCCCACTGTTTTCGAATGACGTTCTCGACCGCGAGTATGGTTGCCTAGAAGAACCTTTCTGTGATATGGTGAATCTATAAATTAACATTTTCTTTTTCCCCTTTCATAGAAATATTCATCAAGATGGGCCTTGAGGAGGTGGTGCAGTTTTTGCAAGAAAAGATGCATTCGTACCCGTATGACGATGATGAAGTTATAGAGATGCTCCAGGCCACGATGTTCGAGTTAAAACGTTTGGGACTGGACACGCCGCCGGCTCCTACCAGGGAGGAGTTCCCATCACTCCCTCCTGGCGCATCACTGAAACGAGGCGTCTTCCAAACTGCGTCTGCGCGCGCAAGGAAAAATAAAGAAAAGGACAAAATTATTCGCGTGCCCATGGACAGACCGCCGTCGCCAGCTTCGCCCGAAATAACGCTCCTTCGTGGCGTTCCGACAAATTTGTCACACTCTCCGCCAGCTAACTTTAACCGGAGCGAAACTTCAGTGTCGACATTTCCCGACACTCCGACAGATTACCAAAGCCAGGCTTCGGTGTCGACAATTATCGAAATCCAACGCCATCCTCAAATTCCGGCGAGTTACCATGGAGAACCACATAATCAGCGTTTACCACACGAAGACCCTCGTTGGTTGGACCACCGGAAGAGCGACGGGCATGGGGTGGAGGTGTTACGGTACAAACCTCCAGACGGTCGAGTGGTGTTTCATTCCGAGAGCGTTCTTCCGTCAGCCGACGGGCAGTCGGACGATAGTCTACGGAGGCGAAGAGTCACCGACGGCGGGTATAACTCGGTGTCAACATTTCGACCAATCAACGGAGACGTGGATGCGCTTGTGATGGCTTCCAAGCCTGGTGGGTCACCCATTTGGAAACATCACCCGAATGAACATCAGGTCACTTTAACTTTTGTTTAATGTAAATGTACAGATAAAGAAGCGATTAGATGGGCTGCTACCTCTGTGAACGAGCCACACAATAGGCTCAGATTGCAGATGAGAATAATGCCCTGGGCCCTAAGTTCATTAGAAGATCTTGTACTCAATTAAGGCACCAATTGGGCTGCACATCTAAGGTACCTGTTTAGGAGTACATTTTAGAGGGTCTAGCAAGTGTGCCAATAAAATTCAGGTTCACAAGAGGTAGTAGCTTGCAGAAAAACGTGAAAACGTCAGCTCTCTTGTGTCCTTCAACTAAGAAAAGAGAGAAATTACCGGCCACCAAAACCTTAACTTCGCAACATTAAACGCTTACAGTCGCTTTAAAAAAAAATTGTGGGAAAGCTGGTGTGCGTTACTAACACGGCTGTATCTTGCGGAAAAGAAACGAGAAACACAAAGTTAATTCTATTGAGCGTTTTGACCAACGCGGAAACAAGGAGGTATCTAGAAGAAATGAGAAATTATGAGCTATCTTGAAATTGAATTTAGGGATCTTGTTTCTTGAAGGGGGCCATGCATAACCTTAAAGGTAGGGCAAAGTATATTAAGATTAGGAGGTTCCTTGGGGTGTAGATGTGCTCTGTAGATGATGTAGCAGTGTTAATTCCATCAGATGGCAGCGTTATTTAACAGAGAAAGGTATTTCAATTCTAAAGAAACTGCTGGGCTTTGTCGGCGGGGCAAGTGAAATACTTGGCTATTTACGGTTTATTATCCGCCGTAGCGAACGTCAAGGCTGGTTTTCACTAGAGCATAAGCATAAGCACAAGCATAAACATAAGCACAAGTGAAAACAGCCGCGACATAAACATAAGCGGAAACGTAAGAAGAACGAACCCACTTATTTGTCTTGTGCAGTTTTCACTAGTAACGCGCTCGACATAAGCATAAGCATAAGCACAAGAAAAACGAACAGTTCTGTTTTTCTTGTGCTTATACTTATGCTTTTGTCGAGCGCGTTACTAGTGAAAACTGCACAAGACAAATAAGTGGGTTCGTTCTTATGTTTCTGCTTACGTTTATGTCGCGGCTGTTTTCACTTGTGCTTATGCTTATGCTTGTGCTTGTGCTTATGCTCTAGTGAAAACCAGCCTTTAGCTTTCACAGAGTTGCTAAGGTGGTTTGTGTATCGTTATCAACTACAAGTTGATAAACAACTAAGTTAGTTAGCAGACGTCCCTCTTTGCCCTCCAAATTCTTCCCCGCTGGGGATTTGATACAAAGGGTTCGATTGGTTGTTACTCACTTTTGAATTTTTGCGGGCACGTAACAACCAATCAGAACACTACACGGATCTGTCACGTTACGTACGTAAAAGGTACGTCATGTAACGTCACGAAACAGTCACGTACGTCACGGTCTTGGCAAGGAATTTTTCCGGTTGAACAAGGAACATCTCGTGAAGGGTTGCCACACGTCAGGAAATGGGGTGAGAAAACAATCTTCAAAGTCAGGGAAAAGTTGGGAATGTTATTTTGAATCGGGGAAAATTGGCACTGACGAAAATTCAGGGAAACTTGAAGTTATAATACCGCTGAGTTACGAGCAATACCACTGAAGTCGATAGAAATATTTCAGGTCATTTTGTGGCAACCATGTTTTTCCTTAAATAATGAAGTCAAAGGGGAAGCTGTTGTAAACCTATCACTCTTTAACGAATGGGAGGCTGAGGCCTGCCGCTATATCCGATTTTTTTTTAATCAGGAAAACTGATGTCTGTGGCAACCATGTCTTGAATGAAGGGTGAATTTAGAGCGTGAAGAGGACCGTCTACTTGTATGGTTAACACTTTTGGACGCATTCGCAAGACAGGCCTCTGCTTGTTTCACTTTTGCCTAGTTTATTTAGTAATTAATGAGATTTTAGATGGAAGTTTTTTAACTACGTCTCGAAGTCTCGATATATCTTAAGGGAACGTTCAACATAACTAGGTATTTTAGCCGTATATATGGAGTATGTGAGACTTCGTATATTCTGGTGATCAATTTTATTACTATTAGCTAAATGTTGCAATTGTCAGAAATATCCAGTGAGCAATTCTAATGAATTGAATCCGAGTTAGCAGTCAGAATGGCAATAATTGTATAATATTTTACAGAGATACGTTATTTTAGTTCCAATTATTAAGAATGAATCAGAACATTAAGGCATGAAAGTGTTCAGTGAATTTTACGAATTCCAATAAATTTGAGGAAATGTCTGATTAAAAAGTACTCTTCACTATCTTGTATCATTTATATCGGCCAGTCGTTTGTTGAAACTGAAAAACAAAAACCTATTTGTAAAATCACGTAACATTCTTTTGAAGGTGAACCTATTGCCACGAACACCTGAAAAAAATGTTAAAATGTAATGTAGTTAATTTAAAAAGGTAGCAGCAATTCCAACAACCCCTAGATATTTTATTTTCACTGGTGTAACTGAAATGATTCGTGAGAACTTTGACATCTCATTCTGATAAAATAACAGCTAATAACTAATCTGAAGAACTTTCAAAGCAACGATTATCTTCTGATAAAGTCATGGCTCACGGTTTAAGCACTATCGAATTTCTTTTCTCACAACAAACTGCTCGTGCACGTCAAATCTGAAATCCTGGGGTAGTCGTATCAAATTTCAGGACTGTCATCTCTAGCATGGACTTGTAATTTTATGCAAATGCTGCCAGTTGCCGAGAAAATGATCAGCGCTGACCAACACCTAAGAACTCGTTTTTATGTAGATTAGGAACTAACTGTTTTGCAAAACCTATTGCACCTTTGGACTTGTTGAGTGTCTTGACAGACTACTAGACGCATGCGCAGTGGTACCATAGCTTTGCACTCCTAACCCGTGGGCACCATTAACATTGGAAACACTGTAGGAGAGAAAGGCAAGTGAAAATTCCGTCACGCACTTTCGTTTGCATTTGAATGTTTTTCACCTTGTCACGTAATCGGTAAATCGTTCTTTCGTTCAAATCTCTAGCATTTCTGTGAGGTCTTAACCTGCTAATCTGGACGTTTTCTTGCTTGGTGGTCGGTTGTGTTTAAAATTCTACCTTCAGGAATCAGTAGCCGGCAATGCCATCTTGTGTAAGATTACAGACATGCTTGATCATTCGTTCATGTGTTTTGTGTAACGAGTAGACAGAGTCCCCCCCGGTCCTTGTGCACGTTCTGACGAATCGTTTTCCTTTTCTACAGAATTCTATCCGGAGGAGTCAGCGCAGAAGCCGTGCGGGAAGTCAGTCCAGTATCACTAGCAGAAACAGCCAGTTCAGTTTACAGAATGTCACATGGGAAGCTTCGAAAACCAATCTGTACGGCATCACAGAACTCTGAGTTGGTATTTGCTACCCGAACACGGTCTCCCCAGTTCGGGGCACAGTAAATAAACAGTTTGAAACTTCTGAGACAGCGCGAAGAGCTGTCCCACAGGTGTATTGGTGGTCATCCAGTCTTAGAGCAACTGAGCTCAGTTGATTTTTATCTTTCCAAATTTTTATCTATGCTCAGTTTCAGCTGAACGTTAACTTGTATAGTATTGCTTCACTGTTCACGTTTAATTTTAGCAGAAAACTCACGATTACCGCCAGAAAACCAGACTGCTTTCGCTGGCTCAAGAATAGGTTCTCAACAAAATTCTCCTTGAGGTCTCTAAAAATGACTGGCTTGAAATTTTGTAGGCCTTCTGCGCCATTCTGGCGCAAGGAGTTAGGTGAAGGTGAAGGTGAAGGTGAAGTTTTGTGTTGCTGGATACTTGCAATTGTAGAAGTCCTTGGCTGCCTACAAAGTCTCGTAAATCGTAAAGACGTGTTGACCTCAGAGAGATTTCAGTTACCGAGAAACAAATTCAGCTAGAACTAACGATCGAGGCAGCCGTGTCCCCTTTGGGGAAGTGTCCACTTTACGGTGGTTTCGCCAAACCTCGCCTGAGGGTGTCCCCATTGGAGACAGTTATAATCATCAAATCATACTTTTCCTTTTAACATATATCCATCTTTTCACACCCTTCTTTTCACTGACGACATAAAAAAATTATTTAAAAGATAATATAACAGTTGAATTTTACTGATTAAATATGGAGCAAATGCCCTATTACCCGAAATGTTCCCATAACTTAATTTCCTTGTTTGGCGACAGTTAATTTTCGCCACCTTGGAAACTTAGTTCCGTATTTTCCTGTATTGCCGAAGCCAATCTTTCGCGAAACTTTATGGTAATAACTTAGGGGGAAAAAATTAGCAAAACGTCAGTAAGGCTTCACCGCTCCGCTCCCTCCCACCCTCCCGACAAGAGTGCACAGCAACGAATCCTGCAATCTGATTGGTCGTCAGCGCGCTCCGGATTTTCCTATCTCTGCCCACCGTCATGGTAACGGTTTTGTGAGTTTCTAAAAGTGATCTGAGGGAGAGTACAAAATAAATGAAATCATTGACCCGCGGTGTCCATATCACGTTGTGCTCTCTACGGAGCCGTGCAAAGAACCGAGAAAAATATGACAAAAAACTTATTTAATATAACAACCTAAATTACAATAATATACATTAAAATAACTATGGCTTATTATATGTTTGAAAGAGGTGGTCGTTAAAGAATGCTTCAGAAAGGAGGATAAACCAGTGCTTTGATTAGCTTACGTGACTGACTATTCCATAAGACAGATCCTCTGTAGGCAATGCTTTTTTGGAGATCTTCTGTAGTTAGTCTTCAAAGAAAACGATTATGTTCAGATGCCTGGAGATTATAGTTGTGGATGGTGTTTCCCTGGTTCTCGTGCGTTGCGGCAGGAACAAAGTCGCGAGAGATAAATCAGCGAGCGAGGCAAACCAGTGAGGGGCCTGGCACGAGAAGTAAGAACGTCTCCCGTCATTTTTCGTTCGCCGACGGCTTTGCTCGTGCCAGCAACGATGAGAGCCTGATCGCAGGCTAGTGTTTTCCAAGGTCAATTTTTCTGAGATATGTTTGGGGATCTGTTAATTCATAGTTTTGCATACCAGTGACTTCAAATGGTTATTCGTATGTCACCTAAGCTTGGTCACTTAGATTTCGAAGAATCTGAGAAGATCCAAGATCCCACGTCCTAGCTAGTCAGATCCAGTTATTATGCGAGCGGTGCTGTTTTGCAAATTTTTCAAGCCTGAGGCTGAGAACTTTACAAATACTTCTCCACAGAGCACTACAATAATCGAGAGGCATAACTTGATATCGGGACCGAGGTGGCTGGCAACTGTTTGCAGCTCTTTTTAAGATTTAGATTTTGATGGGTCATGGTAACCACTCTATTACAATCATGGTATCAACTGTCCAATCATTGGTGACCACGTTACCACTTTCGTGACACAATAGGTTACCATAGTAACTGTATGACTTGCTAAAAACACCCTTAAATTTAGCTTTAAGTGCTAAGAAATTTAATTTTGATCTGCGAGATATATGACACGATAAGTGTTTGAAAATTTAAGGTGGCTCTGAACCCCACATACAATTTTAAAAATTTTGCCCACAATTGCGTCTTATCCCGCTGGTCAGAGTTTATTCATTTTCGTTCTATTTTGGAGTCATTAACACTTTAAGCTAAAATCAAAGGTGCTTTCAGCTGGTCATACTGTTGCTATAGTAACCTTTTATATTCCGAAAATGGTAACATTGTGTTCCCCAATGATTGGGCAGTTGTTTGACGCCTGATTGTAGCTGATAAGAAAAGAGTGCTTATAATGTTAAAGACTCATCAAAACCTAAGTCTTGAAAAGTGCTGGAATATATGATCGCTTCCATCCCTGAGGAGTTGTATCCATAAAACCGCAATGATTACTGAACATTTTCTCAGCGACTGCAGAAATCATATGAAACAAGCGTTGATCAGCACCTTACTCCGTTTGCGTCCGTGGCTAATGCTAACTGCTTGTTATCCTTTAGTGAAAGCCAGCCTTAATGTATTCATAGTATGCCACGCGTTGATAGTAAGTGGCACTGAATTTAATTCACCCCAGCCCTTTTATTAGGACATGATGAAAGAGAATATTAAATTTAATTAAGTAATCAAAACTAGCGTAAAACTGTCAGTTCGTAGTACTGATGAAGACCTAAATAAACAATGTAAGAGTATTTTACACTCCAGAGAGGTCCTAATGAAGAAATTCATATCGTCAGTAAGTTGTGCCGAATTAATAAGCCTTTCGTGTGGGTAATCATTAATTTATTCTTTTGACATATATGTAAACTTGCACTGTCAGGTTTATCTTTTATCGATAAATATATATTTTACTTATACATCACGTAATATGACTGTTTTCTTTCTTAACACTTTTGATTAAATTTACAGCTTACGTTCTCTTTGTAAAGTGAACTGAAATTCTTAGTAATGCATGCAAGCATATTTCTTCACGTTAAAAATGAAAAAACTTCCCGCCGCCCCCCTACAGCTGTTTCTCTGGCTTCAATGAAACATCTCGACATACGAGACAACATAGTGACAGCAATCAGTTGGAACTTTTAATTGCCGTTTTAACATATTGTGCCCGTGTTGACGGTAGTTCGTAATTGCAAAGAAAAACTGACGAGAGGAAAAGGAGTTGATGAACTAATTTTCGTAAGCGGAGGGTGCTCTAACGTTCTGAAGCCAAAACATTTTTGTGGTGATAAATGTGAAGCTGAATTTGAAACCTTCATCAACTTGTGAATGGGACGTGAGAGACATGCAATTAATCGGGTGGCTTGAAACGTGCAGAAATGTAAAACAGCAGGTGTGCAAATTCACAGCTAGGCGAATGAAAGCATAGAAAATTATATTCAGTACCGCAACTCGGCATTTACAATAGGTTAACGGACACCAACATTCGTATAGATTTTTGTAAATGAAGGTTTTTTGTCACTTTTTAAGCCATGCTAAGCCATGAAGAGGCGTGTTCTGTTTTTTTTTGTTTTGTTTTGAAAAAGCAGTTGAGGAATAACTTTTAAGTTAGATAAACGGTTTGATCATCGAATTTGATTCAGTATTCGAGAATGTCTGCTTACTCAAACACAACGCGTGTGCTGAATGGAACAAAGCCATCGAATTGCTCCAGTCCTGACAACCTTTCGGCTAAGATCGGCAAAACATTTGCGTACTGCCTGCTCCTTACTGTCTCGCTGGCTGGAAATTCCTTCATCGGAATACTTGTCTACAAGACGAAAACCATGAGGAAAACCATCAACTTCATGATTGTGAACATGGCTGTGTCCGATCTACTTTTTACGATTTTCGCCTTGCCGTTAATACTTGCAGAACTCCATGCGGACTCCTGGCTTATCCGTGGCGTCCCAGGTGAGGCGCTATGTAAGTTGGAATACTTTTTACAAGACATCTCCACTGCCGTATCTGTTCAGAGCATGGTTCTTATCACAGTGGATAGATTTGGAGCTGTAGTATTTCCCCTGCGTTCTCCACTTATCACTTCAAAACTGTGCCTCGTCTTCATTCCGGCCACGTGGATCGTCGCGTCTGCCGTTTTTACGCCGTATTTATTCGCCTTAAAACTTGTTGAAAACCGCGGAGATCTGACGTGCGCCCTACGTTGGAAAGAAGCGTTTGGTAAATCGTCATCTGAAGTACATTTCATGCTAGCGGTATCTGCCGTGTTCCTTTACATCCCTTTTGCTTTAATGCTCATCCTCTACTCTATCATTATTATAAAACTCAAGACAAAGAAGCTCCCTGGTGAACAATCGCTCAAAGCTGAGAAACAACACAGTGAAAGACACAGAAATGCGCTTAAAATGGCGATTGCTATCGTTTTAGGATTTGCCATATGCTGGATTCCCCTCAGTGTCTTTAATGTTCTGTACCTCTTCGTATGGGACAACTCCACTGCTCTGCCATTTAGCATAATGCACTATCGTTTTATTGCGTCATTTATAGCACGAGCAAATTGTGCCGTAAACCCTTGCATCTGTTTCACTTTCAGTGAAAATTATCGCAGAGGTTTAAAGAGTCTTTTTAACTGTTCTGGAGGCTTGAAAAATAGTCGTAAAAGTTATACTGAATTATATTCCATAAAAAGTAAAGACCGGCTTGTGCACAAAACAGCTAATAATTATGCGGTTAGTGGTCAGAGAAGTAATTATTTTGTCATGATTTCTACTGTGTAATGTCCACTTTCGGTCCGACCTCGCCTCCGGCTGTGCGTATCGGTTTTTAGTTGACGTTTGGTCCCTGAAGGAAAATTTTAGTTGTTTTTCCACATATAACTACCATTTTGGCTTTCGATGTATCTAACATCATTTTTTTTTTTCAAAGAAACCTTTTAATAACTAAATTAAAAACCCATAGAAGAGCAATAAGGCGGGAGAAAGAATAAACTGAAGGCAGAGGAAGAAAAAAAACCGTCTTATCATTGGCTTCTAATATTTGAAACTTTCTCAGTTATCGTTTTTAAAATCACAGTTTACGAACCATTAGAGTTTCAGACGGCGATATCAGATTACTTAGAGCTGTGTATAAATAACATACTAAATTCACGAATAAAATTAAGTTAACTTTTGTGTTGCCGTGTTTTTCTTTTTTTCGTTTTTTTTTTTTTTTTTGTGTGCTAGTAGTTGTTTTTGATGCTTTTTTTATGGGGAGAACGGTTTATATCGCATATTAGTGATTTTGAACATTGTATATGCATTTGCCCCGTCTGTTGCGGCAGACTATATATAGTTAGATTAGGTTTCGACGCATAAATTGCACCCGACTCCGTAAAGAATTAATGAGTTGGACGGCTGGCAGGTGCAGGTGTTCCCGTGTGAAAGGGTATTTGACCCATGTTTGGCTATGAGGACTGCCGCCAAGGGTTTGAAAGTCTTTCGAGAAAGAAAACCTAAGCAATGAATCCACCCCAAGCTGGACAATTAATATTTGGCTCTTATTAACCGAGCAGTAGGTCTGTATCCCAGAATCGTGATAAGATGTTTATTATGTGGCAAACAAGACCAGTTTAATTCGTTTAATGTAACTGGTTTGTACTGACTGCCACTTTGCTTGCAAATGGCAATGAGCTGAATTTAATTCTGCCAAAGTCTGCTCGTTCAATCTAGAAGAAAATAGTCAATGATTTTGCATTGCAGTTCGCAACTTTTTCACTGCAAAACATTACTGGTCTAGATGCTAGTCTAGATGGAAAAATCTAGACCGCTTTCAATATCGATTTCAGCCAATCAAGTTCGTGAATTTGGTAGTTCCTAGTCCTTGTGAGACGGAGCCATATAATAATAGTTGAATATTAACGAGAGAAGTGCGGGCGTGAGCGCGAGGTGTGGCTGGAAGGAAAAAAAATTAGGCAGGCTTCCTTCTCTCCTCTTCTTTCTTCCCATGATCCCTTCCGTGTCCCCAAGTAATTTCATCCAGACTACCTTTCTGCCCGTTCAATGTACCTCTTGAGAAACGACTGGGAAGGAGTCAGACTCAAGTCTACATAACCTGAGAGGGGGAGGAGGGGGGAGAGGAAGTAAGGATGTACTCGGTATCACAGAATGGCTAGGGATAACTAGGCAATACAAGACCCGTATTTCGTTCGCAAATAAATCGCAGATTTTCGTGACTACACTCAAAACTAAACTAGAATCCAAACCTAAAGTTCAGCTAAAGTATTGTCGTTAGACATAAGATTTGCTAATTTGATTACTAATGATATCATTAACAACGTTTGAGCTCAAAGGCAGGCCATTTTGAATTATAGAGTTATGCTGGTGCGCATGCGTGACATAAAGTTACGATAATGTTTGTCAGTTATAAAATAAATATGTACTTATTTCGTGATTTTTTAGCCATTTGAGAAGTAAAAGTACCAGGGAAAGTGTTCATATAAATAAAGACAAATGTAGCAAGGAACAGCAAACGAAAATGCTGCTGGTATACGCGTAGGATATCTAAAAGATCTGATCAGCCAACAATAGAAATAGAATAATTAACAATGAAGCAAGGCTGATTACTACGTAGAAAGCTTAACGGGACAACGACATGATAGAGTCCAAACTAAAAACCAAGAATTGCAACCGTGGAGAACTGGCTGGGTCTCGTCAGCACGGTGTTGCTGTAAGAAATAGAGCAACCAGCAAGATGGCCTCCCACGCAGACGCTCCTCGGCTAGGGCTCGTCACGCGTTCCTCCCAAGGAACGCACGAGGAGTATTAAGAGCGTCTGCGTGGGAGGCTCCCAGCAGGAAGGTCAATAGTCTACACCTGAGTCTACTCTACGAAATGACCTCAGATGAAACTCAAATCCAAATGATTGTAGATTGGTGAACGGGACATGCAAAACCCATGACTGTGAACAATAATAGGCAAAATCCAGAGCTAGTCTTGTGTATTGCGGACAGACGGTTCCGCAGAAAATACATGGGCAAACCATGCTAAAAATAAATCTGCCAGATAACTAAAGTGAGTTATGGGGGCTCCATACGGGGCTCTAAAACTTTGTACGCAAGATTTCGAAGATTATACGATCGAAGTTTGGAATAACCTACAAACCTAAAACTTAGAGTGGTGACTTCTTTATTTATCTTATCACAATTTCTTGATTTCTCTTGATTTAATTTCTTATTGCGTGACAGTGAAAGTCATCTGTTGTTCGGTATGGCAGTTGCAAGATCTAGGACTTGATTGTATACCTTTTTCGCAGACGCGTGTCGTGTGACGAGACGGAAGTCCCAAAGGAAAACCTTTCTTCCTTCCAGTTTGCAAAGCCGAGCCCTTGTCTCCCCCCACCCCTTCCCGCCCCCGCAACTTCGCGCAAAGGTTTACGGGACGCCTTTCACTTTTTTAGGTTGAAGCATTTATCCCGTGCTTATCACAGTTGCCTTGTGATTTTGCCGTTAAGTTGGTAGAGACTCGTCCGAACGCCTCGCTCGCGACATGGTTGTTTTGTCTTCAATCGCTCCAGGTATCTTCACGTTGATTTTTCTCTGCTTTGCTCCAAGGTACGTCAATCTCTCAAACACAGGAAGTTACGGCTTACCGAAAGGTGTAAACGGTGGAGTTGCCTGCGTCGCTTGCACTGCCGTCGTTGCTCTTACGGAGCAGCTGAGTGTCGTACACAACAAAACATTTGTGGAGGCCTATGCCAAGTTATGTAATGTTCTCCCTAACCTATACAGAAATGCATGTATTTCTCTCGGAGAATTTTACATCCCGCAGGTGATAAGACTCATTGAAGCTAAGTTCACTGCGGACATTATTTGCCATTTCATTCATTTGTGCTATAAGGAAAAGGGGCAGCCATTCTGCCATGCTTTTCCGCCTAAGAAGGATATCGGAGAAAGTGTGTCGCAGGCCAAGGAAGAAGTGGCTTCGAAACTATCCTACGAAAGTGCAAGGCTGCATCACCCAAAAGACCCGGCTTTCGATCCGTGTACTCTGGAAGGTGTTAAGGAACTTTGCAACTTGTTTAACAAGGTTTTCACGAACGATTTGCCTCTGATAGATTTGGATAACGACACGTACAGTGCTTCAGTCGAGTCATGGAGAGGTACGTCTTGGAGGGGCCGTGACTGCGATGATATAAATCACCTGAGCCACCCAGGGGCTAAGCCGAGAGACTGGGACACTGTCTTTGACTCAAATTGCAATGGCATTTATGGAAAAGATCCTATTTTTGGAAAGCCGTATGAAGAATTGTTTTGTAAAGGTTGGTCCTCTTTCTATGGATTTTTTTTATGCTAGTCAATAGTAATAATTACATGTCTGTCAATCCAGCAGTGCCCTTCCCCCCCCCCCCCCCCCCCCCCCCGCCTCAACTACCTATTATGTAGTACTTATTCACTCAATAATTCGGCAGCTCACACTGCGACAGGAACAACTACTCAAAGGCCGAGGTAAGAGGTAAATTTTAAGAAAAGAAACTGCTGCATGAAGAAAATAAAAATCGCTTGGCGTGTTAAGTGAAAGGTCTGATTTCTATTGAAATTCAATAATGGTT